TTTCATATATATACATATGTTTATTTGTAAGGCTATAGCACAAAGGGAACATTTTGTGTTTTAGCGTGAACTACAGCTGTGCTGTGAAGAGAGTTCTTTATAAAGACCTGTAGATTCCTACTTCGGTCTAAGATGTAAGTTAGAAGATTGTTGGATATTTGAGGCTATCTTTAATATATTTCTATTGCAGTCTCCTTAAAAACCAAAAAAGGAATGCATTAATCCACAATTCCCTCAATAGAGGTCTTTGAGTGACACAGGCACACTGTTTCTTCCATTGATTCTTCAGAGGTAGCATCCTGGTTTGTGGAAAGGAATTATGGATGTAGGTCCTTCCCCAGAAACATGGCTGCTGATAAGACTGAGAGAAGGCTATTGAGTTCCTTTACTTACTTTTTATACTACACTGCTGCTTGATAGAAGTCTGTGGCTTTGTCAGATATGTCATCCCAGTAAATGCTTTGTAGATTTGATTAAATGAAAGTTCACTTGGGAAACGCTGCAGTGTTATGTACTGATCTTGTTATAAGTGTGTAAAAGTCAGAGGCATGTTAGTTTATTACATTTGCATTATAAAAGTACTTGATTAAAATAGATATTTAGTTTCTTGTTTGTTTGTTTGTTTTTTAGAAAGGGTCTTTTCTTTGTATCCCAGACTTGTCTGGAACTCAAATCCTGCCTTAGCTTCCAAGTACTGAAATGTAGCTCTGAGCTACCATACCTAGTCTCTTAAGCCTCCTTCTTCAACTGGCTTTGGTCAGTATTATTTGTTTGCTTGTTTGGAGAGTCGCCTGTCAATCTGATATTTCAGGCAGATGCCTTGCTTCTCTTCTGGCTCTTGAGATTTGACTGGTAAGTGAAGTCTTACGTTCATCTAGAAACTATCCCTAATATTTTCTCTGGTAAAGACCAAAGTAAGTAAGAAGTAGTTAAGACACTGTCAAAGAAGATATTACTGAAAAGCAGCCCAGTAGGAATAAATAATAATGTAGGTTTTTCAACAGAAACTGGCCTGTAGGGGTGAAAACATGAAAGAGACACATTCTTCTTTCTTGGGCTTAAAGTTAATGAAAATAGCTGACCAACATGGGAAAACTCATGAGAAGAGATCCGTAGATAGAGGCTAGTACAGTGGACTTCTAGTGAGAATGTCCTTAGGATTTGTAGCTTTGGTTCATACCAGATACCAGGGCAATTTATCTGAGATTTGAAATAGAAAAGTAAAGAGGGTTTGGGGGAAAATTGATAGCTTAGACCATTTCCACATTAGTATTTAAAGTGGATAGAAGAGATTGAGTTCAAAGGCAACAGCAGAGTTTGCCACTGGGAGAAACACAGATATTTACATTATAATTCATAACAGCAAAAAAATTAGTTATGAAGTAGAAACAAAAATAATTTTATGGTTGGGGATCACTACAACATGAGGAACTGTCACACTATCAGAAAGATTGAGAACTTCTGCTCTAGGTTAGTGTGTTTGGAGAAAGTTTCTTGCTCTAGGTTGTTCTGGCCCCAATACTCGCTCTGTAGGCTAGGCTACAGAGAGAAGAGTCCTTTGAGGAGTTCTGCCCCTTCTACTCACTAAACACTGAGATAGATTATAGGCAGCAGCCACCATGCTCAGCCTAAAATTTTATCTTGCTAACCAAAGGCACTGTCAAAAATAGCCTTGGAAATCAGGGATGGTAGCACACGTCTATGATCCCTGGTACTAAGGATGCTGAGGCAGGAAGATCACAAACTCTAGCCCTGCTTTGGCTATAGGTCATGTTTTAGCCTGAGCAACATGGGGGACATTATCTTAAATAATAAAAGACACATAGGCATGTAGCTTAGTGGTGAAGTATTTGCCTAGCATGTATGAGGTGCTGAGTACAGTCCCCAGCAAGTTCTTTTTCTCCCATAAACCAGCCATGGGTCTGGTTATTGGTAGAATTTTTGAACTCTTAGACCATAACTCAGATCTGATTTAAAGCAGGACAACTTTTCATCTATGAGAAATCCTTACTTGACTCCTTTTTCTTACATAGGAAGCTAAGCTAAGTGTTCTGCTAATGGGTGATCTCTGGTTATTGACAGCAAATGCCAGGCCTGTGCTTCTTAACAGGGATTGTACTTAATCTCTTTATTTCTCTTGTGTTGGTCCATCTATTCTGTTACCCAGGTACACAAATTAGTAGCCTGCGCAATGATGTCCTGATTATTAACTGTGTGACCTAAGCCTATCTTCAAGTGAAGAATAAGATATCATGTAGCTGGAGATCTAGCTCAGAGATACAGTATTAGCGTGCCCAAAGCCTTGGGTTTACCCTTTAGCAGTCCTCCCGCCCCCAAAGGTCATGTGAATAGCTACATTTGTAGTGATTTAACAATATCTACTGCTATGTGGTTGGTGGTTACCTCCCTTTCTCTCTTTAAACTTTAAACTGAGGTTTAGAAGAAGGTGATTTGTCCAGGGTTACCGAGAAAATGGCAACACAGAGAGAAACCTCAGGCTTAAAGATAGACTTCATTGCTCCTGGGCCCATCAAGGTATAGGAGACAGAATAGACAGGAAGACACACAGGGAGAGACTGTTTACCGCTTCCACATCACCTGATTAGGCACTAGTATCTTTTCCTTTGAGATAGCCTCGATATGTAGCCCTGGCTGGACTAGAACTAGCTATATCGACCAAGCTGGCCTCAAACTCACAGTGCCGTGGCTACCTTTGCCTTCTAAGTGCTGTGTTTAGAGTGCTAGCTTTTTACTAGCATCTTCAGGTCATCTCTGTAGTGACTGGGGTCACTGTTTGTTTGTTTGTTTTTTGAGATGGGATCTCTGTAACATGGTTGTCCTTGAACTCACAGAGATTCCCCTGCCTCTGCCTCCCTAGTGTTAGGGGATTAAAGGCATGTGCCACCACTGCCCAGCATGACATGAACATTAATTTCTTTTTTAAAAACTCCTCTAAGGAGAGTGATGGCTTAAAGCTATTATTACTAGCTTATTTTTTTTTTTCCTTAATGGCTCTGAGGATCAAATCATGACTTGGTTTTTCGAGACAGGGTTTCGCTGTAGCTTTGGAGCCTGTCCTAGAACTCTGTAGAACAGGATGGCCTAGAACTCACAGAGATGTACCTCTGCCTCCCAAGTGCTGGGATTAAAGGTGTGTGCCACCACTGTCCATTTTTAAATCCATGGCTTTTTGCATGCTGATCATCTCTAAGCCACAGCCCTAACCCTACTTACCAACCTTAAATCCAGTCACATAGGACTTTTACTGACTGGCAGTGTTCAACCACTGCCATGTGCTTTGGAAGGCTGGAAAAGTTCTGCCTTAGACCATGGAGAGGTACTGATCCTCACAACTGCCTTACAGTGGCAGTAAAGTGTCGTTCTCATCCTAGAGTGAGAAACAGACTTCCCCAGAAAGGCTCACCTAGAGAGCTTGCTCCACTGTAGCATGTACATTTACCTGTTGCGTCACCGGAAGCCAGCAGTAACCCTACATCCTGTGCTACGAGTTTCCCAACTAACTCAACCACTATGCCAGCCAGACTGATGTCTGCTCTGGGACATTACATGTCCTCTATAAACAAATAGCAGGCAGCAGCTTAGTGTGTGTGGTACTAATCCTACTCCAGCAGCCCCTATAGTCTGGACTTGTGTATAAGTGTTCCTGGATGAAAATGTTAAATACAACTTCAGTCTCTGAGATAAAAACTTGTGGGGGAGGCTGGGTGGTGGTGATGCAAGGTTGCTAAGGGAGAGATACTTTCTTCAGAGGTGTAACCATTGGTAAATTGTCCCTACTCCTGCAAATAACTAGTTAAATTCACTGGTTCCCACACAAGAAAAGACATGAAATAGAAGGGGGACTGGTTGGGAGGGAGAAGAGGACAAGAGATGGTAATGAAATAAATAACATGCATGTATGGAGATGTTATAATGAATCCTATTATATGTAATTAATATATACAATGAACCCAGAGTAACGGTGGAACACACTTCAGCACTTGGGAGGTAGCAGCAGGATTGTAAATTCAGTGTTATACTTGGTTATATGTCAAGTCCAAGATGTGATTGGACTACATAAGACCCTGTCTCACAAACATAGCCCCCCAAAAAAAACCAAAAACCCACCCACTTAGTCAAAATACACTTGTACATTTGTACTTGTTTCAGAAAAGTTTCTGATACTTTTTTTTTCTTCGAAGAAATAATCTCTCACATCTTAGCTTTATTTATTTGCTTGTTTGTTCATTCATTCATTTATTTTTGGCTTTTCGAGACAGGGTTTCTCTGTAACCCTAGCTGTTCTGAAACTGCCCTGGAACTGGCCTTGAACTCACAGAGAGGTATGCACCACCACTACTTCTTGGCCTTTTGACTAAGATCAAGTGGAGCGATGGGGGTCTAGTGATGTCCAAGCTGACCCCAAACTTCAGCCTCAGCTTCTAGAATACCAGGAACTGAATAGCCATTTGTCACTTCATGTGGGGCTGTTTCTCTGAAAGATTTCTCATTCCACCCATCATGCCCTTCTGATACAGGATCCATCCTGGCTTGGAGTGTCCTTGGCAAGCTAATTAACATTTTTGGGCCCTGTTTTTCTCATGGGAGCAATATACTTCATAGTATCTGAAGATTTAAATGAAATTAGGTATTCTGTGTACTTGGCACATCTGCCCATGCCACAGGAGCTCTTTAGGAATCATTAGCTATCATTGGAAGGATCCAGGGCCAGTCCAGAGAAACATCTCAAGTCTTGGGAACTGAAAAATGCATGCCTCTACCACTGTGTGGAACTAAGGTCATTTTTCTTATATATACTAGTGTGTTCGAAGTGTTGATGATCTTCAGTGGCAGCCAGTGCCTGCCACAATGCCCCTCCCAAGTCCATCTAGAGGGCAGGAAGCTGTACTTGGGCCCATGGTTAGGAAACCTGTGTTTATCTAGGTCACCAGGACTACATCCAGGTTTTGTTTCAAGAACAAAAGCACAGTACACAATCAGCCTTTCAGAGATTTTTATTGTTGGAGATCCAGTCATGCATACTAAAATTACATATTTTCACCACTTAGAAAAATGCACTAGAAAAATAAACTTTTGGTCAAAACAAACACTGAAGTAGATGAATCCACCACATGTGCCTAAACTCAAAGTCAAACTGAATTTCAGTTTGAAGTAAGGAACATGACCACGGGCTAACAGTAGCCTACCTAGACTGCTCAGAAAAACACCCCCATTCCCACCGGTCAGAAGAGTATTGGAGGTCTTGGCCACTGGGAAGTTTCAAGTATTTACCAGTTGGGTTCCTGTGTGCTATGCCAAGAAGCCGAGGCACATCCAGGAGACTCCAAAGCAGCCACCACTTAACTGCCTAATGGAAAAAGCCTCCAGAGAGATTGAAAACACACACACAGAACCCCAAGTAATCGAAAACCTATAAACATGTAGTCGTCTCCAACTGCAAGTCACACTGAGCCTTCCTGCAGAGCTAGCTCCCATGGAGAAGTATTTGGTGGCGCTTCTTGTGTTTGAACTGAGCATTTCTGAGTTGGGAGAGCAGAAAGAAATTTGCTTGAGATTTACAGAGTGAACAGATGGCAATACTGAGCGCCTTAGCAAGATAGCTGGCTGTCCTGAGCAACCCATTGGTGTTGCAGCCTGACATGACCATAGGATAGCTACACATACATCAAGTGAACGTTTTCCTTTCTAAAGGAAATCTCCACAGGAAAACCTGAAGTGCATGACTTCAAGATGAGGTATTGTAGCGCCACAACAGCAGTGTAGCCATTGCTGCCCGGATGAAAAAGCAAGGTCCATGAATGATGAGGATGAAATGACATCCGCCAAACTGCCTGCTGGATCGTAAGGCTGTCCCAGATATTCAGAGGGAATGCCTGCATTTCTGAAGAAACCTTGTAACCTGAGGTGCTTACAAACCTAGGATGAGATGAGAGTGGTTTAACCGGCCTGTGCCCAGAGAAAGCAAAGGTGTGAAGCCAGCCCTTCTGGTTGTTGCTGTAGATTTTATCTGTATCCCTCCATGAAGGAACAATAGGTTTCAGGGATCAGAATTTAGTGGAAGTCTGTAGTGGACTTGGGCAAGAGAAGAAAACTCCCATATCCCTACACTAGCATATTGCAGCACCAATTTACTTGACCTACATTCTTAAATGACCTTGTTTTTAAAAAGCAGAGAAGAGTACCCTTATGGCCAGAGAACCAATTAGGAACAGGATTCAGAGTTAAGTGTACAAGCCTCTGTCCAGTGATCAAGGGTGCCAAGTGGAACATTCAAGACCAAGTAGGAAGATAAAGCTGGGACCCACTTCTATTTCACTATAGCTTTTCCCTCCCAACACCATATAACCTTGAATTTTAGGACAAGTTCATTTTTAGCTATCTGTAAAATGTCTAAAACTTTAAAGTCAGATACTTTACCCCTAAGGTCTTGCTCACTTGATGCCTCTACCAGTGTTCCCCTCAACTGAAGCTTTGCTGCCCTTCTTGCTCAGTGCACGAGCTGCTTTATTTTACACCAGGAGGTCCTGGCCTCTCAGAGGCTTCAAACCAGAGGTGCCAAGACTGATCTTTAGAGTCAGCAGGCAGCAGAACAACTGGGGGGACAGCAGACCCACGCTCTCAGGCTTGATGGAATGGCTCCCGTTTGGCCTAATCAGAAAGACCTAGCAAACTGGGTGCTTTTTGCTCTGAGATTTTTCCCAGTGAGCCTGGCTGTCCTTTGCTAAACAAGGAACTAGCTAATCACGTGACAGGATTTAAACCAGGGAAGAAATTCATCTTTCCCTTTGTCTCCCCCCCCCCCCCAAGACAGGGTTTCTCTGTAGCTCTGGAGCCTGTCCTGAGTGCTGGGATTAAAGGCGTGCGCCACCAATGCCCTTTTGTCTTTTTTTCTTGTGCTCTCTTCCTCTTTAGGACCTAAGAAAGCTGTTGTTAATATATAGTCTCTTGCCCAGGTTGCTGGGTTCAGAGCCATCATGGTTTTTCCAGGTGTGTGAGTGGTCATCCCTGTAGGCAGAAAACCTGCCAGGAGCTAAACCAAATAGCACAAACTTAGTAGTAAATGGTCTCTGGGCAGTCAAGACAGGTGTGTTTTGGCACTTAAGCTCAGCCAGGATCTAAAAGATCAAGGATTAGCATCTATGGTGAAAAGAATGTTCCCCAGAATTGGCATTATTGTGGTAAGTTTCAATTAAGAACTTCTGCAGATGTTTTAGGAAATTTAGTAACAATTGACCAACCTTTGAGTCTCAAAGCCACATCTGTAAGCCCTATGGAATGCCTGCTTACTCTAGTAAGTACACAACCAACAGTAGTTGACGCTATTTAACATCATAATACCCTAAGAATACCAAAGGAAACAGGTCAAAAACCAGGAGATAATTCCCTCAAAGCTTGGGTTAAGGCTAAAATTTTGACAGGTGTCTAAAGTGCCTAAATGCAAAACTAACATTCTGGCCAACTGGTTCATCCACACTAGACAGCCTGCTGGGCCCCAGGTAAACCAGCAACAACCTGGCCCAGTGTGTTTCCAGAGACAAAAATAGAAGAAGCCCAAAGCTGGCCATTACTGTGACTGTTTCTGATATATTGCTAGTGTCTCCAGGGTGGAAGGGTTTGTACAAGATTTGGTCAGCCTCACAAAAGCCATTCCTTTCAAGGTCACCCATCATTCTACAAAGGCAGTTGGTTACCACCAAAGGCACAGCCAAATGGTGATGCTCCTTTACATAAGGTTTGTGTACATACCACAAAACCAAAACCCAACCACCTCTAGGTGGTCATCTTTGCAAGCAGAAAACCTAACAATTTCAGCAGCCTCAAAGAACCATCCCATGTAGCTTGCTTTAGAAATGACAAAGCCGAGGTTCATGTCTTGTCCAGCTACACACCTGGCTCCTAGTCCAAATGTGTTACTCACATAGTCTGGAAATCCAGTATTTTAGTTGACCAGTATGATCCCATGGAGAACCAGAGCTAAGGCTTTATGGGTTTGGGAAAAGTTTCTATTGCAAGATTCAACCCTGGAATCCCAGGGATGCTCTGAAGCACCTGGCTTCCAAATTTGATCTATAACTACTGCCTGGGTCCTGGTATTTGTACTGCTCAGTTTATAGTGCTTTCTAGGTCCAGTGATGACAGCTAGGGCCTGAACCTTGAATCTTGCTGATGAGCAACAGAGGTCAACACCTAGGGTTATTGGGGAAAGAGACTCTTAACAGTTTCACGTGTGGCCATCTTTCAGGATTGGCAAACTGCTTCAGAGTTGTGACCAAATTGTTTGAGAGTCATGATCAATCCACTTGTCTTCTCCTAGTTACTTCAGAGTGACTCTGACCCTGGTTGCTTCCAAGATATGTAAGAAACAGATACAGACAGCTTATCCAGACTAGCAGTTGCAAACATTTGGGAATCACCAGGGCAATTTCCATGTCTTCCCTGGAATAATGCAGATAGCCAATGGTCTGCCTGTGGTGGGCTCACCCTTTAATCTTTATAGGCAGCTCTGTTGCTGCGTAATGATGGAGCAAGACTGAGGCCTCGGCATCTTCAGCCTTGTGCGTTTCTAAGGAATGAAGGAATTATACACGATGACTCTCCCAGAAGAGAGCTAATAGCAGGAGTAGAGCTGGGACTTCACAGCTCGCATGGAATCATCACACTGTGCATCTGAGATCAGTCCTTCGGGTAGCAGTGGCTGGCCCGGGAAACTGTCACAGGCAGGCACAGGCTGGCAGAACTCTTTTACAAAATCATCCTCTGATGCCAGCAGCACCGCATTCCAGGTGGCAATGTCCAGCTCTCCAGCTGTGCCCCCATACTCTCTGGGGAGGATATTCCTTGGAAGGCTTGTATGGAGAGAGTTCAGGTCAGACCCATGGAGAAAGAACTAAAACACAACAGTATAAAAAGCACAGACTCAGCAACTGTGATCACGGGCACAAGACTGGGTTCTTCCACATTCCATCATGGTGTTGGGGGCAGAACCACTCACTCCTTTAAGGGTCTATAGGCAGTTAATAGTTGCTGGGGGTAGGGAGGGTTTCTTCAGTGTTATAGCCCCTAGTAAGTGTCCATGTTCCTATAAATGGTCCTTTACTCATGACCTTGTAAGTGATCCTAAAATTGCCAAAACATACAAAAAAGACTGTAGAAGGGAGACTACTTGAAGAGGAACAATGGGCGTGGGAGGAGGACAAGAGGGTAATGAGTAATGACAATGCCATAATGAAATGATTATTATATATTAATATATGGTGCTGGGGGAATTGTCTGTATTCTGTCAATCATGTTTTAAATAAACTCTGATTGGCCAGGCAGGAAGTATAGGTGGGAAAACCAGACAGGAAGTAGAGGTGATGCAATGAGAACAGGAGAATTTTGGGAAGGAGGAAGTTGATTCCTCGCAGTCTTGGGCAGATCACCGAGGAAGCAGGATGTGACCTGTCAGCTGAAAGGTACCGAGCCATAAGGCTAAAATAGATTAGAATAATGGGTTAATATAAGTCATAGAGCTAATAAGAAGCCTGAGCTAATGGGCCAATCAGCTTATAATTTATGAAGACCTCTGTGTGATTTTCTTTGGGGCTAAACAGCTGAGGGAACCGGACAGGACAGAAACCCCCAACAAGCAAGCCAGCCCACATGTTACAAATATATACTAATTGTGCTGGTTAGTTTTTTGTGATCAACTTAATACAAGCTAGAATCATTTGAAAGAGAAGAACCTCAGTTGAGAAAATGCCCCCATCAGATTGGCCTTCAGGACAATTTTCTTGATTGATGATTGATGTGGGAAGATTCAAACCACTGTAGGCAGTGCCAGCCCTGAGAAGGTGGTTCTGGGGTATGTAAAATAGCAAATGGCAAGCCATGAGGAACAAGCCGGTAAAAAGCATCCCTCTATAGTCTGTTTCAGTTCTTGCCTCCAGGTTCCTGCCTTGGCTTCCCTCAGTAGTAGACTGTGCCCAGGGACATGTAGCCAACTCTTTCTTCCCCAAGATACTTTTGGTTATGGGTTTATTACAGCAATCGAAAGCTAAGACACTGTAAAACTTTTTTTTTTTTTAAAAAAGCACACCCATGCTGAGGAGAATCAGTAATGTGACAATCTTCCTGTGGCAGGTGCTGAGTGAAGAAAGTTCCTTAGCCCCAGGAGCCTGGGGTACCTCAGTTCTCTAGCACACCCCACTGAGAAACTTCCAGTGAGTCATGATGTAACTACTTCACTACCGCCCTACCAGTCCCAGGCTGCCACCATTTCTCAAAGTCTACCAGTGGCCTTCTACCTGGCCTCTCAATTTTGAGCCTTGTCCCACTACAGTCCCTTCCTTTCAGTGTGGCTCAGGAAATGTCACTATATTTACAGTCATCTCACAGGCCCACAAGGCCTGTCACAGTCTGGCTTTACCCATCATTCTTCCCATCCCTCAGCTCTGATTTCCTACCTGCTCTTCCAGGCTGGACACCCCTCCCACACCTCAACATTATCCCGTGCTGTTCTCCCAGTTGCTGTTCACAGATCTTCTCACTGGTACCGGCTTTAACTACCCCAGTGAGTGCATAACCCCTTCATCACACAATCCATTCTGTGTGCCTTTCCAGAGTGTGAGGATCTTAGGGTAAAGATTTGGGCCTGTTCTTCCCATGGTTCATATAGAAGTTGATTGATTATACTTTTGAGTGAGTGTGAGCACAGAGGAAAAAAATGGAACATGAATAAGAGGATTTCAAAGATGCAAAATATTTTTCCAAGGGCTGCAAGGTAAAATGCTAATCGTGACAGAATCACTTGACAGACAGGCCTCTGGACATGCCTGTGGGCAATTTTGTCTTTATCAGGTTAACTGAGGTGAAAAGAGCCATGGTAACTGAGGGTATGACCATTCCCTAGGTAGGGCTAGATCCTGGTGTGCACATAATGGAGAGAGTAAGCCAACTACTACCCTGCCTTCACTGTCTTCTCACTGTTGGTGCCACTCAACCAGGGACTTTACCCTCCATTGTCTTGACTTCCCCAGGTGGACCAAAATAAACCCCTTTGTCCCAAGTGACTTTTGTTCTGTATTTTATTACAGCAAAAGAAAGGGAGGCCAGGAATCAACAGGGGCTCACATCCAGCCAGCAGCCTTCAAGGCTAAATGATCAGAATTGCCTGAGGTGGTTTAAAAACCACCCACACAGGCTCTTCTCTGTTAACATCCTTGGGGAAAGGGCCTGGGAATCTGGAGCTGGATTAACCTTGAGATTCTCTATTTTTAGATGCTTTTTTTTTTTTTTAAATGAAACTGGGCTGAAGAGGCAGCTCAGAAGTTAGGAGCATTTACTGTGCTTCCAGAGGACCTGGGTCAGAGGACCTGGGTTTGGTTCACAGCACCCACATCAGGTGGCTCCCACCGCATGTAACTCCAGTTCCAGGGTGATTCAATGCTCTCTTCTGGCCTCCTTGGGTATTGCACACATGCACACTGTTGAATAATCCTCTGCACACTGTGAAAATGTATTGCTCTCATTGTTAATAAAAAGCTGATTGGTCGATAGCTAAGCAGTATTTTCAGGGCAGAGAGAATGCTGGGAAAAAGGGTGGAGTCTGAGGAGTTTCCAGCAGAAACAGAGGGAAGCAGGATGAACATGCTGTGTTGAAAGAAGGTACCACCATGTGGCAGAGCATAGATAATAAATGGGGATTAATTTAAAATGTAAGAGTAGCTAGTAACAAGCCTGAGCTATTGGTTCAGCATTTATAATTAATAATAAATTTTTGAGTGATTGTTTGGGAGTGGCTGCCAGAACAAAGAGAAACTCCGCCTACACACACATACTTTAAGATTAAAAGATTTTTAAAACAAAAGATAAAGTGTGAAAAAGTGTGAAAGAAATCCAGCCCTTGGAGTGACCTCAGTGTCTCTGGGTGCAAGGAAAGAGGATAAAAATGTCACTACCACATTTGCATCAGTAGTCCTGAGAAAGATGAGAAGAAGAGGGGCTTCTGTGCATCAGAAAGGAAGATCCTCTTTTGAAAGTGTCTTCCAGGGTTGGCCGTGTAACTTAGTGGTACAGTACTTACTCGGCATGCATGGAGCTCTGAGTTAGCTATGATCAATCTATCTGCTTGGTGACCCATTATTTCCCTTACCTAAATCCTCTTACACATAAGATGTAATGTTGGTTTACAGTGTCTAAGCCAGAAGACCAGAAGCCTGAATAGATTGCAGAACAGGGAGGCAGCTTATAAAAATACCACCATTCAGCCTGGGCTACATGAGGCCCTGCAGTAACACAACACCCTTGTCCTATTCTTGTTATTGGCAAACAATGTATTCTTATTAGTTCCATCTTCCCCTCATGAAAAGGATGGATCATGTTAAGTCTAAGTACCTTATACTTCCAGATTAGTTTCTGGACAAAATAATGATGCTCTAGGTGTCACAATAAATCAAGTGAGAAAAAAAATCATGGAAAATTAAAAAAAAAAAGGATCAAGTTAAAAAGAAATCGCTCACCCTGTTTGCAATTTTCTCCTTCAGAAATGGTTTTATGATGGCAAAAATGCCTTTGAATATCCGAGGTTCGTTCACTATGTGGACTGCTTTTATCCGAATGGGGAAGCCATCCTGTGGGTGGGAGGAATGCCATGTTAGAACATAGGTAGTATCTGGTACTGTCTCCACTGCAGCTGCTCTCCTGGTCTAAACCACAAGAAGCCCAGCACCAGTCTGCTCTGACTCTCACAGCCGCCTCAAAGAGAGCCCTGGTGTCAATCACAGGAGACAAGTTTTTGAGGAAGTCTGGGTCAGAAGAGCTGGGCAAAGATAGCAGGTGGGAGGGCTCTTTTAGCAGCAAACAGTGGTCCAAGACCACAGAGAAAGAGCTGGAAAACATCAGACCTCCCAGGTAGGAGCAGCCCAAGTGTACTTCTGGTGTACCAGATATGATGTGAAAGCAGATCTGCTTGAGAAACTTGTGAGCCAGAGGAATACACTGACCTACATAGTCACATAGGTTTCCTTAGCTTGGCTTAGTGGTTCAGGCCTGTAACCATAGCTATTCAGGAAGCTGAGGTAGGAGGATTGAGTTCAAGGCCTGTGTGAGTTACAGAGTGTTGTGGTTTGAATGAGATGTCCCTTGTAGGTTTGGGCATCTGAATACTTGGTCACATTGGGCGGCACTGTTTGGGAAGTTGAGGAGTGGTGTCCTGGTGGAAGTGTGTCACTGGGGACAGCTTTAAGAGCACACGGCCCCACACTATTTTTAGTGCTGTCTGTTTTGTGCTTGCTATTAAAGATGTGAGCTTTCAGCTTTCTGTCCTGCCACCATGCCTGACTCTTGATAGACTCTGCTCTCTCTGGAATCATACACGGGATAAACTCGGGATAAACTTCTTTTTTCTAGAAGTCGCCTTGGTCATGGTGTTTCACCACAGCACCAGAAAAGTAATGACTCTACAGAGTACTTTCAAGGCCAGCCAGGGCCACTCAGGAAACCCTATCTTAAGATGCAAAGTGGCTTTTGTTTGTTTGTTTGTTTATTTTTTCAAGACAGGGTTTCTCTGTGTAATGTCCCTGGATATCCTGGAACTCATTCTGCAGACCAGGTTGGCCTCGGACTCGGAGATCTGCCTGCCCCTGCCTCCCAAGTGCTGGGATTAAAGGTGTGCGCAATCACCGCCTGGCTATAAAATCTGTTTTTTAAAAAGGGGTGGAACTTTAGCTCAATGGTAGAACCCTTGCCTAACATGCAAGGCTCTAGGTTCAATCTCCAGGTCCATTTAAATAAGGAGGGGTGTATCTTTAAGTGCAGTTCTGTTCACAAGCTTTAATACACTGATGTTTACAGTGAGATTCACCAGAAAAGGACACATTACATCACAGTTCCCAAACTTACTTAACTTTGGAATTTTGGTCCTTCTGGGTGATCTTACATTAGTAGAAAATACAGATCCAAACCCGACACTGTGTGTGTGTGTGTGTGTGTGTGTGTGTGTGTGTGTGTGTGGTGTGTGTATGTGTGTGAGTGATTCAACAGGAGCCATCAAAACACGGAGCCAGGAGCTGGAGAGACAGCAGCCAAGAGTACTGCTGCCCTTCTGGAGGACCTGGATTCAATTCCCAGCACCCACATGTCAACTTACAGCTGTCTGTAACCCTAGGGAATCTGATGCTTTCTGGTCTCCTCAGACACCAACCACACGTGCACAGATACAGATACAGGCAAAATACCCATACACATAAAATCATTAAAAACAAAATAAAACATTAAGCCAGGGATGTATCTCAGTGATAGAGTGTTTGCCTAGCATACATGAGGTCCTGAGTTGCATTCCCAGCACAAGAAGATAAAAACACTAGAAGCTAAGGGAAACCAGACCTTGCAATTTACAATGCTGGAGGTGTGCATGGTGGTGGAGGCAGGGGGACCGGGTAATTCTTTGGCTACATATCAAGTTTGAGGCCTACCTGGAGCACAAGAGATTCTGTTTCAAAAAACAAAATAAGATGATGACCAACAGCCAAGTAGTCTGTTTAAGTCAATTCACAGCAAGGGCTTGGACATCTGTGGACCTCAGTGAAGGGCAGATGCACCAGGTACCTCACAGCTCACATGAGGCAGCATGCAAGGGGCATGACAATAAATAAGAGCTCAGTCTTTATAGCTGTGACGTGGAGCAGGCCACGTACTCTCGTGTTCTTTAGGGCTCTGCTGCCCCATTTATCGAAAAGGAAAACAAATTCTTGCCTGCCTCAGAGTGTTCCCTGGAGGACTGAACTGTAATGGTAGGGCTTTGCGAACCACTGAGCACAGATATGAGATGCCTTCTGCAGGTGCCTTCAGGCATGGCAAATGGGACTGGAGGTTATTCTCACTGCAATGGGAGTGGGGTCTGTATAGTCCCCATAAGACAGCAAGTGGACAGGCCATGGGAAAAGCAACCACAGAATGGGTACATGATAAGCAGGGGCCATACCTGAAGGATGCCAATCACCTTTTTGGCTATAAAAGGGCCAAAATGAGATGCTTTTGATAAGCTGACACCTTTGTAGTCTGCGAGAATTACAATTCCGTTCACTTGGGTCTCTTCAGACTGAATGAGTTTTTCTAATGTCAAGTATATGGCTCGGATGTTCTCAGTGATTGGGTAGTTGCTCGGTATCCATCTGTCTGAGATCACAAGGATAGACAGTGTTACGGAATGAACACGAACGAGCGCTCAGAAAGAGACGCATCTTCTAAAACCTTGGCTTTGCAATGGAGGAAAACGACATTCTTGTCACCAAGATCCTGCCCAGCAGCTGGTGTTTCCTAACCTCCTGAACCCAGCAGAATACCTGGAGACAAAAACACAATTAGGTCAGGTGGTAGTGGCGTACACCTTTAATCCCAGGCTCAGGAGGCAGAGGCAGGTGAATCTCTGTGAGTTCAAGGCCAGCCTGGGCTACAGAGCGAGTTCCAGGATAGGCTTCAAAGCTACACAGAGAAAACCCTGTCTCGAAAAACAAAAAAAGAAAGAAAGAAAACAAAAAAAGAAAAAGAAAACACCATTGACAATTGAGTGTTGAGGTTAAAAGCATGGACTCTGAAGTCAGACGTGCTACCCTCTGACGTTTATTGGCTGTGTGACCTTGGACAAGATGTTCTAGCACTTTAACCCTCTCTCTGTTTCTCTTCCCCCCCCCCCAAAACAGGGTTTCTCTGTGTGGCTCTGGCTGTCCTGGAACTCACTCTGTAGACCAGACTAGCCTTAAACTCATAGAGATCTTCCTGTGTCTGCCTCCTGAGTTCTGGGACTAAAGGCGTGCGCCACCACTGCCCAGTTGAGCCTGGCTCTTAAGTAAACAGGGTGACACCTACCTTGGCCACCTCTGCTTCGTGCCATTAAGTGTCATCACACTGCCACCTGCTTTTCCACTCTGGCTGCACAGAACTAACCTGACTGGTGACTCCAGGAGAGTGATGATGCGGACTGGCTGGCCAGGCTGGTTGATGTCCTAGCCACAGCACGCGACCTAAGCCAGGCCACACAGAGCCAGACTCCACCTAGGGTGTGGTCCTCGGGGTAGGGAAGATCACTTCTCCCTCTCCTAGCAGTAAAGCTGTGAGCCCGAGATCCAGGGGCTCATGAGACCAGAGCAGGTCTGAGAATAAAGTCTGTGCCAAGGCTGCCATGAAATCATCCATCTAGGTCCCCACCCCAAACCAAATCTAACTGAACCCAGATATCACCTGAGCAAATGAGTTCTTGTTTCAACTGACAGAAGTTGGCTTTTGGTTTGCCATCTAAAGAGTGAGTTCTAACTCAGAACCTCCTCCAGGTGTTACAGGACGGAGTACAGCTATTTCCATGAGGCTCTTCCTCAAGTTCCTCCTTGCATCCTCCTGATGCTTGATTAATATTTGCATATTTAGTGATTCCACTCTTTGGGAAAAGGATAAAAATGACAATCTTTTTGACTGTTAATCCCTACTATATTTTTTCCCCCCGAGACAAGGTTTCTCTATAACAGTCTTGGTTGTTCGGGGACTTGCTCTGTAGCCCAGGCTGGCCTCAAACTCGGATATCCACCTGCCTCTGCCTCCCGAGTGCTGAGACTAAAGGTGTGCGCTACCACCACCACCTGCCTTAATCACGATTCTTTTTCTCTTCTATTTCTTTTTTTTTGGGGGGGGGACAGGGGTGAGGGAGTTGAGACAGAGTTACTCTGTATCCCAGGCTGGCCCTGAACTTTCAGGGATCCTCTTGAGTGTTGGGACAGTAGGCACAGGCCACCTTGCCCAACTGGAAACTATTATTCTCAAGAAAATCTTTACCAAGACTCACGTCCCATAAGACATGGGGATGTAGACATAAAGACGAAGCTGACTTAGATGCTGTGCTCACACCTGTAATCCCAGCACTTGGGAGGTGGTGGTAAGAACAGGAAGTCCAAGGTCAGCCTAGGTTACACAAGACCCTATCTCAAAAACAAAAATCCCTCCCCAAATGCTGGGGAAGCGGAGTCATGGTCCTGAGTGGTGTGACCACTGGTAAGATCCTCTTGCTCAGGGAAACAACTCCCAACCTGTGCTCAAGCAAGTGACCCTAATTAAATGCAGTGGGCCACTCCCCACCCACCCATTCCCTGTAAGGGGGTGAGTGGGGCAACACAGGACATGATCACTGGAGGACTTCTTGGGGAAGAAGGGGCTTGGGAATTAGAGGGAAGGGTGATAATGGATAATGGGGGCTTATGGTCAAAGTAATTAGATATGTATGAAATCAAGAAAGAATACATTAAAAAACAAAATTTCATTTTGCTAAAAATGGGATATGTAATGAATGTGCACATTTGAATATGTGTGTATGACCCGTACCCATTTACGTGTGAGGGGACGTGTGTGCCATAGAGCATGTATGTAGGTCAGAGGACAATCCTAGGTTGTTACTTTTACTTGGGGTCCAGGAATCCGAACACAGGCTTGCGGGGCCAGTGCTTTTACCTGCTGAGCCATCTCACTGACCCTATATGAAATTTTCATACAAATCTTTGCCAAACCTGGTGATTAATGTTCCTGTGAATTAAGTCTGCCTCTGTGTAGCTGGATATCATCTTTTCATCCGCATATATCTCAAAAGAGCTTAGAAAAAAAGCAAAGCCCGGTTAGGAGCACACCTTTGTAGGTACGCTTCCTCCTAAGAAGCTGGGTCAGCAGGAAGGGCACAAGCACATGCCAGGAGAAGGCAGAGCCAACATGGTGCCACCTGACCGTCTGATAACACTCCTGCGCTGAGCTCACAGCAGTGAGACAAAGCTCCCTGGCCGGTTTCTAGGTCTCTCGGTGCTCAGAAACCTGCACTGCTTATTTTAAAATAAACACCTAATTTTGGAAAGAGCCTGGCACAACAGGTAAAGTGGCTCCAGCTATGTCTGACACATGGTGCAGGGTGAAGAGAATGCTCTAGACTGCACAGACAGCTTGTCAAAGGCGAGAAGGAAATGTGTGAGGCCTGCAGGCGGAGGGAAGCAGATGGAGGTGGCCTCACCACCGCTCGGCACCCCTGCAGATGCAGGCACAGGGCCGTCAGCACGGGCTCACTTCCTGGCCTGTATAGAAGGGGTGCTGTACTCTCTCTCTCTCCCTGGACGCTGCCAGGCAGGGAACTGCAGGGCCTGCGAGTGAACTGAAGATCCTCTCCTCTGCTGCACCTGGTGCCCAGGACGGACAGAATTAGGAATCAGAAGGCTGGCATCCCATGCCCTCCATTCACTAGCTAACACTTTAGCTGCTCTGAGGGCCATGGTTTTAAATGCTCTGTGGGAGCTTCCCTTGCTGCAAATAACCGTGCTTTTCATTATCTTTCCTGGCACCTAAGCTGCCACCTCCTCTCCACTGCAAACAGTAAAGTTAATAGGCAGAAAAGCAGGATAGAGAGATGCAATGTTTGTTTACCATTGAGTCTACCATACTTCTTTGTGTAATGTTGAAAAGACACTTTTTTAAAAAGCTGGGCATAAGCCTTTAGTCTCAGCACTGGAGAGGCAGAGGCAGGTGAATCTCTGTGAGTTTGAGGTCAACCTGCTATAAATAGCATGTTCCAGGACAGCCAGGGCTACATAGAGACTTTATTTCAAAACACAAAGTAAAATAAAATAAAATAAGTAAAAAGAAAAAAAGATGCATTTTTTTTTAAAAAAGTAAGCTACACCGAGTACCACTATGAAGTAATGGTATCGGCAAATGAATCAAGGGGTTCTGATCTTAGCTCAGTGGTACAGCTCCTGCCAGCAGGTGCACACTGGGGTTCCAGTCCAGCGCTGCAAAAATAACTAACTAACTTAACTAAGTATAAACAAATAAATAACAATACATAGGGCCTTGTCAGGGTTTAGCAGCGCAGAGCAAGGAGGGAAGCAGAGAGTGGGTACCTTCCCAGGCCTCTGCCCAGCCCACACTGTCTTGCTTCTGTCTGTCCTCAGCCCACTCAGAGGAGGCACTGGGAGGGGCTTGGCAATCATGCCTGTATCCCACGACCAAGAACAGATTCCTCAGCCCACTGGATTCCTTCCTTTGGAATCTGAGTTTGCACTGACAGAAGCTCACGGAGTGGCCAGGTGAGTCTGAGAGCTTTGCTGTCCTTCAGGGTAAAGAATATGAAGAATCTGTCTGTGTTCAGCACAGTCAGACCTGGGGACCTGTGCTCAGGGCTCTAGGACCTAGTCGGAGTAGAAGCAACTTCAGTATGGTGGATCTGGAATCTGTTTCCGCCTCATTAGATCAAATCTTCCTGTGGTCCTCAGTTAGTCTGAAGATGATTTGTCATCTGTAGTCAAAAGAGCTTTGGGGTAGGCATGGTGTACTTAAAATCTTAGCACTTGGGAGGGAGAAGCAAGAGGGTCCGGAGTCTAAGATCATAGATATGGCTGCATATTGAGTCTAAGACCAGCCTGGGTTGTTTTAAAAAGCCAAAACCAAACCAGAAAAGCACCTTCACTAAAACAAGCAAATGGGGAACTTTGAGAGAAAGCAGGGTGAAGACAGACCCATCCCAGAGGGACCACACATTTCCCCAGTACCTGGTCGGATGCAGAGGACGTGGCAGCCCCTGGGGTCCGTGTGGGGCAGCACTGTGAGGAATCCAGAGTTAAGAACATCTTTCAGGGCTGAAGGTCTCAGGTTGCTGAAGACCTCCGGCCAGTTCCGCCTGCAGCCATGGTAGTTGACCAGCAGTTGCAGGGCCCGGTCATAATCAAACTTTCGGGCCCGCAGGAAGCGCAACAGGAAAGCATCATCGAGCGACGTGCTCAGGTAGGGGTACTCCTTCCGCACCATGTCTCGAAGGGCCTGCACATCCCGGAGTCTCCACTCGGGCTTCTCCTGAAGCTCCTCCCTGGCTTTGGTGACCAAGTCTTCTGTCAGTGAGCACACGTAGCCGGGAGGCTCAGGTGGAGGCAGTGGCAGCTCATTTTCAGAGAGTGAGGCCACAGAGGGGCTGGTTCGCAGAGAGTCACTTTCTTCTGACATTAGCTATGGGGGTTCCTGCTGACACACAGGCCATACGTGAGGGTAAGAAAGTGCAAGATGGGCCTTCCTGACAGCTCAACAGGTAACTTTTGTCACACAACCCAATGACCAGAGTATGATCCCAAGAACCCACAGAAAGATGAAAGGAGACTTGCCCATACGCTCACAAACTCGCATGTGCACGTACATGTAATGTTTCAAAAATTACGCCTACTTTAGTATTCTATTTATTCATTTATTTACCTTTATTTTTAAGTCAATCTTTTTAAATTTATTTACTTTATGTTCATTGGTGTTTTGCCTGCATGTATATCTGTGTGTGGGTGTCAGAAGCCCTGGAATTGGAGTTACAGACAGGTATCAGATGCTATGTAGGTGCTGGGAATTGAAGCACTGAGCCATCTCTCCAGCCTGTTTCTATAATTTTTAAGGTGAAACATTGCTTACTTGGAACCCCAAGAGCGGGAAGTGGGTGACAGGGAGTTTTGTCAAGTTACCTCAGGGAGTCGTATGGAGGTCTTGATCTGAGCCACATACCCAAGTCAAATCCAACAGCCAAACACTGTGCCTTCCTTGGAAGGGCCTAAACAGGGGCTTGACTTGTTGTTACATAAATGTGAATGCAAACACCCTTGAGATTCAGACCCAGTTCAAAAATAAGAAACACATTCTCTAAAATACTGGTGAGAATATAAACTGAGTCTTTCCAGAGAGCAGTTTGTCAATGCTGAAATTCAAAACTAGGCTGTTGAGAGAATTCAGCCAACAAAATGCCCAAAGTGCTGTTTGGATGCCCAGTCTCCAGGGATGTGAGTCTGCCCCCACCAGTGCTGGGGGCAGGTGGGAGGGGGCAGAGACAGGAGCATCCCTGGGGCTCACTGGCCAGGCAGTCGTCAGTGAGCTTCAGGTTCAGTTACACCAGTGGTTCTCAGCCTGTAAGGTCACATATCAGATATCCCACATACCAGATATTCCCATTGCAATTCATAACAGCAGCAAAGCTACAGTTATGAAGTAGCAAGGAAAATCATTATGGTTGGGGTCACCACAACATGATTAATTGTATTACAGGGTCGCAGCATTAGGACAGTTGACGATCACTGAGTAGACTGGCAGAGGGCCAGGGAGATGGCTTGACAAGTAAAGGCACTTGATGCCAAGTCTGACGATGACTTCTAGAACCCACAGAGTAGAAGAGAATTGACTCCCACAGGCTGTTCTCTGATCTCTTCATCCACAATGTGGCATGAGAGTGTGTCCCCCCTCAAATAAATAAAAAATAAGGTGAAGATTGATCAAGGAAGACACCTCTCTCTCTCTCTCTCTCTCTCTCTCTCTCTCTCTCACACACACACACACACACACACACACACACACGCACAGATGCAGAGCTTCATGAACTGACCTTTGCTGGAGGAAAAAGTCAGAAGAGAGTACAGAGCAATTTTGTGTAGGAGATAAGAAGCTGACCAAAAGTGCCTCAAAGAAATAGATCTGAACAACTGGACATTCAAGAGAATTTGTTTGTTTTTGAGAAACAGAGTCTCACTAGGTAGCTCAAGATGGTCTGGAACTTGCTAGCCTCCTGCCTCAGCCCCTGAGTGCTGGGATTACAGATATATGCCACCACGTCCAGCTTGCCTGAGTTTTACAATGTAACTTACTATGGTGATCATAGAAATGTAACTGAAGGGCCCCACTGCAGTCCCTTCAGAGGCCCTATCCTATTAAAGCCACGGTTTCTACAGACATCCACAACAGCCCCACCCCCACCCCCAGCCAGTGACTGACCCAGAGAGACTGATCTAGCTGGATTCCTCCTGCCTACACCTCCATCACAGGGGCCAGACCTGCCTCACAGTCCCAAGGCTCCTCCTCATCTCCTTGTATCTGTGGAGGCACTCCAGTAAACTCCACACACTGTCCATCCATCTGCTGCTCCTAGGGCTTGCTCCCGGAACACCTGCGCTAACACACTATGGGATGAAAACAGGGCAGCTGCTGAGCTGTCCTGGAATCGGCTGGCAGCAGAGCTCCCTGGCTGCAGAGCCTAAGCCTTTGTCCATGCGTGGACGCTGACCTTCCACCCCATGCTCAACAAGGAGAGCAGGGGCCATCTCAAGAGTCCTTGCACATACCTGTACTGTCCTGGCTGCACCTGGCTGAACTCCCTCCGGTCCACTGTGGCTAGTGACCCAGTAGGCCACTCCCACCAAATCTTAGGATCGCCCACTCCATCACTTGAATTCCAACCTCTAGTCACACCGGCTTCTTTCACTTGCTTCCAAAGATATGTCCTCATTCCGTGCATATTCTGGTCCCTCTCAATGGTGTGTTCTTACTCCAGCATCTCCCAACCCACACAGACTCACCCTGAGTCTTGAATGGATGACACACATGCATCCAATGAATATCAGACACTTAACAATGTCTGTTTTTTTTCCCCCACCAGGCACAGGGAAGTAGAAGCAAAGAAAAAAAAAATCCTGTCTTGTTGAGCCCAGTGGAAATGGGAGACAGTTTCTCACCATAATACACAGTCTACTACTATGAAGAACAGAAGTGGGAGGAATGGGATCAAGACTGGTTTTAAATGGGTGCAGCCAGGGAAAACTTGACAGGGTAACATTTGAGCAAAGATGGCAGGGTGGGTCAAACACATCACATGGTTGTGTGAGGGTATCTGAAAAATGTCTGGCTTTTCTGAAAAGCAAGATGCCCAGTGTAAGCCTTTAATCCTAGCACTTGGGAGGCAGAGGCAGGCGGATCTCTGTGAGTTCAAGGTGAGCCTGGTGTACAGAGCTAGTGTCAGCACAGGCTCCAAAGCTACACAGAGAAACCCTGTCTCAAAAAAGAAAACAAAACAAAAATAAACAACAAGATGTCCAGTGTAGCTAGAACTCAGGAAGCAAGATGGGGGAAAGCAGATGGATTTAGAGGTTTTCTGGGGGCTACTGGCCAGGGCACTGGATGCCAATAGGAACTTCAAACTTCCGTGCTGAGTGAAGAGGGGCAGAGAGGGTTCGGCATGACTTCTGTTTTAAAAGGACCACTCTATTGTCTTAAAAAAGCACTAGGGCCTGCAGGACGGCTCACTTGCAGCTCTAGCCTGGCTACCTGAGTTCAACCCCTGGGACTGAGCTTTACAAGATCTACAAAACCCATGTAAAAGTAGAAGGAAACCACCTCAAGGCTGTCCTCTGACCGCCATGTGTGTGCACCGTGCCACGCGCATCCGTACATCACAGAAATGATGAAAAGTAACTTTAATTTAAAAAGTGGACCGTAATGAAGTGATGGCATAGAAGGTTCAACAACGACCCAGGCAAAAGGGGACCGTGACATGAAGAAGTCAGCCTTCACTCGCTCCAGGCTGAGCTGCCTGGGCAGGAGCTCTGTGGACTCCATCTCCAGCTCTTGTCACGTGTGCAGGTCACCAGTGTGTGATATCCAGGTGACCGCTGTGCAATACCTTGTAGCACCTAACAGGTTCCTTAAGATATAGAGGCCCCATGACCTAATACTTCACTGTACTTCATAGAGTGTGCTGAGCAAGGAATGGGACATTCCTGCCTTCTCAGGCTCCACCCTGGGCTGTTTCCATGGCAGTCGCCAACAGGTAGGTGCCTGGAATCCCAACCCCCTGCCTACCTGAGATGAACTGTAGTGTCACAGGTCAGAGAGCTAGCCTTAAAGGCCCTCTCCTTTCCTCCTCCACCCCTCCTCTGCCAGGGGAGACGAACCAGTGACCCTCCATTCTCGGAGTAGCTCACACATCTGATATCCACTGCATGACATGTCCTCTCTATGTTCGCCAACCAACGACACAACTCATGATTGTCAAGGCCCAGCTGTGAGGTCATCTATTCTGTAAAGCCTCCCCGATTTTCTTGAGACGAATCCCTCCAGGTTTCCACCCATCGCGCTTTAGAAATGTCTGTGCGGTGTCACAGGTGTTTACACGAAACCCTTCAGAGTCAGTTTCCACCCGTTCATTTATCAGAGAATTACTGACTGCCTCTTGTATGTGCCAGGCACTGTGCACATTCATTCCCTGCCTTGTGCAGCTTACATCATAGTGGTCTGATGGAAAGAGGTCATGCATGCTTGAGGGTTTTGCTTTGAGTCAAGCTCTGCATCGTACATCCATTGTCTTATTTCCTCCTGTGTGCTGCTGGGGCTCGAACCCATGCTAGGTACCACTCCACTGCTCAACTTCACTGTTCAACTCCACTGTCAACTCCACAGTTCATCTTCAGGATACGGAGCCAGCACTCACCCCGACCGTGGGGATCCCTGTCTGCCAGGCTCACACACAGCCCCCAGTGCCAGCTCATGACAGCACTCAGTAAACATCAAAAGAAGTACAGCAAGCCCTGCCCAGTGAGGCAGAGAGAAGTGTCAAGCCCCACCCTGGCCTCATCTTCTCTTTCCTCCACCTGCAGCCTCCTGTTGTATCCCCAAGGCCTCAGCGGTGGCTATCAGTCTGGGGAACGACATGATGGGTGGACTTGGGAACAGGAGACAAAGCCTAGCATCCTCCCAACCTGGACCATCTCCCCGTGGAGCATTCCCTCTCTCTCCAAACAACTGAAGGCCGGAAACCATCTCTCTCGGAGCCCCAGAGACCTTCGAGCCGCTGACAGCTTTCCAAGGCCCCTACTTCCGGTGGTCGCCCCCTCCCCAGGTGTCCCCATTTCCTGGGGTCTCCCGCCCCTCTGGCTCACTTCCGGCAGTCTTGCCCTCTGGGGTTCCCCTATCTCTGGCCCCTGGGCGCACGCACAGGCTCGCGGGCACTCACCAGCCCGGCGGCAGGCGGAGCG